ACTGACGTCGTTTGCCCGCATATCAATTTTCTATAGTTTCTGGAGGGTTGCCCGGATATTGATTGTTTCGAAATTCCAGGAAAGGAGCTGTATCCATCCCCCCTCCAGGGATGCTAGTATAAAAAGAACGCTAATGCTAAATATCAAGGGTTTAGATTTACATTCCTCTGTCATCAAGGCCTCTCATTCCATTACAGCATTATGGAGTCCATAGAGGTCAAGATGCCAAACTGTTTATGAAAAATGTAGTCCCGAAATTGAGCAGGCTCAAGGTTTCCAAAATGTCTAAGAACTCTCGATTATTTTTTTAAAATGTCATTGGGTGTGGTTTTAACATGACTGCAGGAATGTCGATAGAGGATAATATGTCTAGGCCTCAGTCCCGCCCCCCCCCCCGCCCCCGCCCCCGCCCCCGCTCTCAAAGTGATCATTATTGCCGTCAATTTATGGGCCAGTTCATACTTCTATAATTATAAGCTACCAATTTGAGGACCTTAATCGTAGTACGTTGCAGTTTTGTGTTTTTCTTGCAATATCATAGATACTTTGTTCCTTCCACTCTGTAGGCTATGTGCGAGAGACACCTACGTATTAAATCCTAAAACGAGGGTGACTGAAGTTTCGTACCACCCTCGGGCTCGCAAGCAAATGAGGATAATGTAATTTACATTGAGCTGAAGCTGGACAAAATAATATTGCAAAGTACATAATTATAGTCATAAAATGGATATCATTCAATTAATGACAGAAAAATAGAACCAAGAAAAAGGTCCTTTTATCTGCCTTGAGTTACTCCACGGGCCGCGGAAAAGAGAAGGCCGGGCGGGTAGGGAAAATTGTATCATATTCACATATCCCTGCTCCCACGTAGAAGAAATACCTGGGTAAAAAAATCCTTTCTAATCACATTGTCATATTTCTTTTTTTTTTTCTTCATTGATGGTACTAACACTCATATTTATATTTAAAAAAAAGTGATTCTTATATTTTGTGGTAGGACCAAGAACTTCTTGGTAGGACTAGGATGTCAGTAAGACCTGTTTCCCTATTAACCACATAAAACACCTTCATACAGTCATATTCCAGCATCTATTTTTCCGTCATTATTCTTATCTAAACTCTTGCTGATACTATGCAGTTTCCTTCCTTATTTCCCCCTTTCAGCATTTCTCTATTTTGAAATCCCCCCCCCCCCACTCTCTCTCTCTCTCTCTCTCTCTCTCTCTCTCTCTCTCCCTATCTCTTTCTCTCTCTCTCTCTCTCTCTCTCTCTCTCTTCCTCTCTCTCTCTCTCTCTCTCTCTCTACACTGCGAACAGTGAGAAATGTCGTGCTGGTTCGATTCTTGTTGATTTCAGTCACCGTGAGGGGATCAAACCGCCAATGAGAGATTGGAGACAGAGTGCTGTCATAATGGAAGGCGTAGCGTGGACCCCAACCATTGAAAGGGCACTGGTGTCATGGGAGGGGGCAATGGCTTAGTCGGTGAATGCCATGCGAGAGAACAATGCGGTCGAGGAAGGCATGTGGGGAGGCATGGTATCGGAAGGGGTCATATCATGTCCCTTTTTTTTTGGTATCCATTCCCCTATCCTTTTTTCCTATATTATGTTTGTTTTGTTTGTTTTTGTTTTTTTGTGGGGGGGGGGGGGGGGGGGTCTGTTATTTGACCTGGGGCTTATGCCCCCTGCAGATACGCCACTGGTGGACGTAAGTTTGATATTGGACATTCTTGCACAGCGTTACGGGTGTCTATATTGGCATAAGGAAAACCATGCTGGAGTTACTAAAGCCGTACTTTGCACGGATATAGCCTTTATGTAAATCAGATTATGCTAGAATTTCACATGATAACAACAAAAACGCAATCTATTTCTGCGTCATTACAACAAGGCTCCATGCCTTTATTATTGAGGCTGACCATATTCCCTTAGAAGAAGAATAAAATTGAATATATTCCTCTCTCCCATATATTGATATTTTCTTATTTCGTAATGATTATTATTGATTTTAACAAGAAAAAGTAAGTGTGGGGTTTTATCTCTGTAAATCTCACCCCACCCCAAACAGAAGGGGGCATTGCTTACCCATAGCCCTCGGGGTATATAGGCCTAACATAATAATAATTGTATCGAGGCCGGATGACGGGATTACACCATAATTTTATATATTAAACTAGAAGTTCCGTGCCCTGATAGAATTAGGTGTATGTTATCACTAGGAACTCGGTTGCTTTCATTTGTCGACGGAAATTTTGAATCTGGAACCATCTGCCTGGCTCAGCAGTCAATGCAACAGGAATAACCAACTTCAAGGAGGCTGCTCTACCCTCCATCATAATGATGCAGCCCCCTGTTGGTTCTCACATCGTATAAGCTTACTTGCTCGGTTTTTACTTGCACTGGACTTAGCATATTTTACTGTAAATTGACAAGTGCTTTGCCCACACACCATTCCAGCAAAGTTCATGACACTCCTTGTAGTTACTCGCCTCACTCACCTCCTGCCTACCATCCCAGTATAGCTTCCTGAGTTAGCTGCCAAAGGGATTACCCAACCAAGCTAGTACCAAGTAATACTTATTTGTTTGTTTTTTATTTCAAATATATAATTCACTGATTGTAAATATTGCACATACATGAAATTTCTTCCCTTTCTTTTTGAATTTTCTGTTCGTCAACACACTATTTAGCACTAGGCCTAGTCTAGTATTAGTCGGTAAATTCATCCGAAGAAACCCGAGATTTGTTTTTAAATTTCGATTTTAGGTGACGATATGATACAAGGTAGACTATGTCTCAAATATGCTCCTAGTAATTTCGATTGATGACTGATATCATGCATCTGAACATGAATTCATGATTTGTTTTTGTCTTACATGAAAGGGAGATTGGAGGTTATGGTTATTATATTTTCGCACCTGTAGACTACTACTTTACTTTAGCTGTAGGCCAAGTCCCATACGTGCTTAAATATGTTAGTAATTAGACTTCTGCTCTGATTGAGTCTAGAACTAACAGTTACTAGACCTACTAGGGTGTCTGAACGATTTTTCTATTTTCAATTTGGGATCGTTTTTCACCATTTTTGTTGGATATTGGAATAAAAAATGTAATCAGAATAATACCTTTCAAATTTCAAGACTCACCGATGTTTCTATCAAAAGATACAGCCCCTCAAAAACTGTGCAATATCCATAGCATTTTGGTCAGAATTGACAGAAAAGTGGTTCACGCAGAGTTATAATTTCTGCTCAAAAGCTGCACAGCTAATGCACAGCACGATATGCAAAGCGTGGAGCAAGGGTATTTTCAAACTGTTGTAACAAATGATCCCTTGGGACTAGAGAAAAAATAAGTGCATGGATATATTCTTGACAGCTGGCCCAACTTATTCCTCGGGGGCCGGGGGAGCAGTTTGTGAAATTGGTAAATCTCCGAGTTACCATGGAAACGATGCTTAAATCGCTGTTTTGAGCAAAATATTTTTAGAATTCCGGGGGTGGCCCCCTATGGGGAATATGGAGAAAAACCTGCTCTTTCATATGACACCACATTTATTGAGTTTCACCTTCAGGATCATTTGTTATAAAGGTTTGAATTTCAAATTTGTCATAAAATCATTGACCAATTTTGCTTGGTCGCGCAATGCACATAGACCACATAGGGATGCATGCAATCTCTATGGGAAAGATTTTAGCACACAACATCGGGTGCGCGATCAGACACCATACTAGTACTACACACACATAGCTGCATTACTACCCTGGCTGTGTATTAAAAACTGTTCTATTGATTCTCAACATTTCAAACACCCCTGTACAAAACTCAACTGATTTCACTCAAAATCGGTACTTTATTGATGACACCTAAAATCTAAATAGCAGTAAAATAGTCTAGATCTAGGCTACTCTAGATCTACAATCTTTTCAACTTACATCATGTAGATCTAGACAGAGTCTACCGATGTTAGATCTAGGTCTAGAAAGAATATTTTGAAAATTTAAATCGTGAGTCTATAGACCTCAAACTTGCCATTCAGCCACATTGTATTCACTGTGTACATTTGTGTGTAATTGCTGCCTCTCAGCACGTAGTACATCGCAATACGCTTTAGCATGCTATTGCGTATTGACCTCTAGCGATGTACTACTTGACTCTGCTTTTTTTGGTGAAACATTAGTCTAACTAGCATTTTGAATTTTTTATTTTATTTCTTTCTAGATCTATCGCCTTTCTTGTTATTTTATTTTCTATACCACCCTAGCTTCACAGATCTAGGCCAAATATTGGGCCTTTGAAAAAGAGGAATTCACCTTAGATCTATACTAGATCTGTTACTAACAGCGTGTTTCCACAGAAAACATTGACACAGTATTATCCATGTCATACCGTGTCAGTTTCCTGTGGAAACACAAGCGCGTCGAGTCGAGTCGACCGAGATGCGGATTATCAGATCCACCTCTGGGAGGTGGATCTTGACGTGTCGATCGGCTCGATCCCAACGAACTCCTTGTAAAATCTCTGTGAAAACACACAGCGACAAACCGTGTCTGGTGGAGCATCAGAGCGCGCGAAGCCTCAATCACCACTGCAGCGTGATTGGTTGAAAAATACTCTGAAATACGCGTATACAATAATATGTTAATATACGCGCTGTACTAACAATGAAAAATATACGTCACAATAGAATAGCGTGGAATCCTGTGTAGATCTGAGGTCAATCCACGAGGTTGAATCTTGACTTCCGATTGACACGGCATTTGCCTGACTTGGAACACGGAATCGGGGCAAATCGGAATGCTGCGCTCTGTGGAAACAGATTGGTTTAATACCGTGTCGCCGCGACACGGTATTTCAATCCGGAAAAGATAATCCGTGTTCAACTTTTTTTCTGTAGAAACACGCTGTAAGTTTATAGCTCAGCTCATGAAAGAAAAAAAATACTTTATAGTCATTACCACAATACACTATTTCAATTGTGAATAATCTGTTTGGGTTTGAATTTTTGCTCTTCATTTGCAGTCAGATTCTGAGTGCATCATCTTCCAGCTGGTGAATGGTATCTAAAGTCTTCCTGAGGTCTTGGTCCCATGTATCTAAAATGATGTCGGGGGCACGAACATACCAACTCAAACCGAGTCGTCTTGGTGTAGAGGTATTCGGTATCGATCTTGCTCAACAACAACCTCAGGGTGTGATTGACCAAATAAAAGAGGATGTGACGCAACACAGGTCAGTGTGAGGTCATGAAATTTACTAAATAACTAAAAGAGTTAGAAGTAGATATATATGTTTATCGTTTGCTTAAATTTCTTTTAGAGTTACACGACACGTACATGGATGAATACTGCTTTTTCAGATATGGCACGGTAAACCGCCGCAAAAAGCAAACACTTTTCATTCAAATTTGTAAATGAATGGTAACTGCATGCAAGAAAAGGTCTTGTGCGTATTAACTGAGCTCTGTGTTATACGATACAGAATGGGAAGCGTATTATCATGCTTTACGTCATCATAAAAAAACTCCTATCTAAACAAGTCTTAAAGGTAAAGACCAGTATTGGAAACGCCCCAATTTCAAAAAATGAAATGGAAGCTCTCATTACCAATCATGTGAAAGAATATGTTTTGACTAATACATGATGATAAAAAAATTGCCGGGAAACCGCCTACTAATTCATATATTTGGTAAATTTGTTTCTCTCATGGTCTGTGAGAGATATAGGGTAGTCCCATATACATCTTTTTGTGTATAGTGCTTGTAACTTTACGAAGAATGAGCCAAATTTCTTATCATTTTGATGATTCCAGAACCTTACAGATGCTAGATGCTAGATGATCAATCTTTTCTGATCGATTCCACTATGTTTCTTTCACAATGCAATTGCATGACCATAACTGGTCTTTACCTTTAATTCTCATATAAATACCATACATGGATGCTTTAATCTCTCTTTCTTTTCTGTGTTTTAAGCAGGGCTCGAGTTAATTTTCTGTCCACGGGGGCTCTTCAAAAAAAAAAAGGCCCCCATGAGCCTTCTCACGGGGGATCTTTTAGTGCTGACGGGGGCTCTTATTCTAATACAAATTTCCATTGAATTGGTACCCATGAAACTCCTATATTCCTTGGTATTTTATCATTATCATTTATTTAAGTCGGCAATTTCCCTCTTAGAAATTTACTTGTTACATAGCTGTTATTGACTTTTATCCCTGTGATGACATTCTCTCCATTTCTTCCCGTTCTGCACAAAATGTTCTCATTATTCGGAGCAACTTATTTACATCCTTTCTTTAATTTGTAGTCTTTACCATATCCTTCCAAAACACAGAGGCGGATCTAGCTTTTTGCTAAGGAGGGGGGGGGGGGGGGGATAACCCAAATACGATGTGGAGTATTGTCCACGAGCCGTATAGTGGCTAGGCAATTTTTGTTGTTGCAATTTTGAACCCCTGTAAAAGATGTTTTCCAGGCATCTACTGACATCTACTAATACTGTGTAGGTCTGGACACATGATAGCATTTTTCTATCACATTTTCACTTGGCAGCCCAAGGGGGAGGGAGGGGGGTGGTTAAACCCCTTAAACTGCCTAGATCTGCCCCTGCAACATCTTTGGTGATCTTCTTCTCAATATTGATTTACTGGTCGAGTTACATTATTTGCTGGCCTTTTAGAATAACCAGATTTCAGAGGGTTCACACTTTTCACAACAAAAAACTTCTCCATGTTTCAGTCCTTGCGCGATCGTCTCCAGCTCCAGCGGAAATTGGGCGTCAACGTGCACACCGGTACTACCGGCGCAGTATAGCCACTGCTGACGGCCGCACTAGCTGCTCTGCGAGCTTCCTTTGTTTGTGTCGGTAATACTCATAGAGATGGGAGAGAAAGCGCCATCTTTGTTCCATTTCATTGGTTTAAGATTTAAACATTGATACTCAATATTGTGTTAAAGTTATATCAGAAAAGATTATCTTTATTTTATAATTCCACGAGGGCGATTTTCAATTTTACAATCACCCCCGTGAGCAACCTGACGAGGGCGATAATGCAGCTCACTGGGGCGAATCGCCCATCGCCCCCGTGTATTTTGAGCGCTGCTTATAAGAAATGTGTTTTGCATTTAGATGTGAAAATCGAGTTACCAGTGTGCTGCTATGCACATTATAAACAATCCTCACATAAGAAGAATGCTACTTTATTGACCTGCCCTTAATTAAATTTTAAGCTGTTCGATTTGGAGAATTTGGCTGCTATTGACATTTAAAGGCTTGTCTTATATCTGTTTGAGAAAAAAAACTGCTAATCAAATTGCACCTTCAATATTCTGGCAGAAAGACTGTTAATCCCATAATGCTATTCATGGACAAGATGTAATCCACAATCAAAATCTCTTCTCATTTGAAAAATAATTTAGATCCACTGCATTAATGCTATCAATGTTGTTATAGAAAGGAGCTTTTCACATCAAAGCTTTTTCTTTTTTTTCATTTTGAAGAAACAATTGTATTTCACATCTTTCCCAGAATTCATAGAAATACTGTTCTTTATGTCATAAAACTATTCTCATTTGTAAGACAGGCTTATGATCTTCAGGAACCAGAGCCCTATCTCCGGGGACCGTCACGTGGAGATCAGTCTCTGGTTTGGGGAGCTCGAGTCCACCTTCTACAAGCATCCCAAGTCGCCCCACCCCGACGTGTTCAGGGTCTCCAACGTGGAGAGCGAGGGATGCAGGGGGGTGGGGCGGACAGGGTGGCACATTGATGGGAGCTTCCAGCCGGCCCCCTTCAACTACTCACTCTACTACATGCATGTGGTCCCCAAGGAAGGCGATACAGGTTTGTGCATTTTCTTTTATTTGGGCTAGTTAAGTGCATCAAGTAGCATTGAGTGATGCTTGATAGCTCAGTGGTAGAGCATTGATCTTGTAACCAGGAGGTCCCAGGTTCGAACCAATTTGATGCACTACCGGTAGTGCCCTTTGGCAAGGCATTAATTCTCATTACCGAGTCCCCCAGAGAGGACTGAAAGCCATTGGTCCCCTGGTTGCTTACTTACAAGCATATACATGCTTTCTTAGCAGTCGGGTAAAACAAATAAAGAACTATATTGTTCCATAATATACGAACATATCTAGGATTTCTTTAGTATATCTGATGATCATTTCAAAGCTGAAGTGAAAGCCCTTCTAGAGTATGAATCAGACAAAACATCAAATGAAATGACATTTTTATGTTTATTTGTATTTACGATTTCATAACAAAACTCAAAAATACTTGTAAACATATGGGACATACCATGTACTGTATTTGTCTTGTCCCTATACATTTATATATATATATATATATATATATATATATAACCCTAATCTGTAACCTTTCTAAAAACCCAATCACATGCTAAGCCTTAAACCTATGTCTATGAAAAAACAAAACAAAATTATTTTCTCATATGAGTCATCCATGTTAAACTGCTGAACACATCTGTAATTTCTCAGAATTGTTGACACTCTAGAGTCTAGAACATTAGGGAAGAACATGTAATAATTTTAAGATCAGTATCAATGAATCAGGACATTGAACACTTATTATACACTTTGTTTGCTTTTACTTTGCTAGTTTGACTATCTAATCTACTGCATGATGACCAGTTCCAGTTTCTCTTTATTACCAGAACTAAACGTACGCATTGGGAATATTATGCATAACAGAACTTGACAATAATCACTACTTGTGTCTCACCACGCCTTTTTGTTTATGCAAGAAGCGAACTGGCCAGGCCTTTGTTTATTTGTACTTTCAAGTCTCTTTCAAAATGTGTAATAATATCTTTACTGATCCCCCTCTCTCTCTCTCTCTCTCTCTCTCCCTCTTTTTTTTGTGTGTGTGTCTTTCTCTCTTGCTCTCCCTCCCTCTCTTTCTATGCGTGTGTTTGTGTGTGTGCGTGTCTCTCTATCTCTCCCTCTCCCCCTCCCTCCCTCCCTCCCTCCTCTCTCTCTTCCTCCTCTCTCTCTCTCTCTCTCTCTCTCTCTCTCTCTCTCTCCCTCCCTCCCTCCCTCCCTCCCTCCTCTCTCTCTTCCTCCTCTCTCTCTCTCTCTCTTCTCTCCTCCCTTCTTACCTCTTACAGTATTTGCCCCTCTGAATGAGATTATCGAAGGTCTTTCTGAGGACCAGCAAGCTAAATGGGATAAGCTGTACATGATGAGTGATAGACGGGGCAGCTTGGTCCATCCGCTCGTCTACTCTCATCCTCGGACAGGTAAAAAGGTGAGTACCAGTAACCTTAAAGGGGAAGTGTACCCTGATATTAAGTTGGTTTTTATAAAAGCAAAAAAATGAGAATACAAATTAGTGAAAGTTTGAGGAATATGCGATTAAAAAAAGGAGCGTTTTGAATTTTTGAATTTATCTAATAGGTTCTGGAAGATATTAAGTACCTGCTGCTCCAAGAGGTGGGTGCTGAGTAGCATCGCTTTATGCCTATCTGAGAATAGATGAGTTATAAGATGGAAGGAGAAGTTCCCTGGACCTGTTTACATACAATCCCAGAGTACAGAAGTGTGACATCATACTGGCCAGTGGCCATGTTGTCAAGGTTGCTGGTTCCAAACAATTTTGTGCTGAACAATGGTGTGGTGATCACACCATTGCCAAATACTGAAATTGCCCTGCTCCAGCCCGTTGCTTGAATGATGTTGCGGTGAACCTCATGCATGAACTCTGATGTTTGGAACCAGTTACCTAGATGACGAGCGAATATGACGTCATCATTTCAGTTTCGTTTGTTATAAAGCTAGATGATAATTTTTCAAGTCAACCCTATCAATTCACACATACTCTCACAATGCTTGGACAGAATTAAGTACCACTGGATGCGTAAATTCCACTGCAAGGTATATATGTCCACTAAAACGGAAATTTATTTTGTATCTGTGTTTTATCTTGATGGGTCAAGAACTATTCCCATTGCTGGGATTCCTTAGTTCCTAAATGCTTTAGATGTTTATACTTTTGATGTTTTTATGCCTCCGCCACCGAAGGTGGTGCCGGAGGCATCATGTTTTCGGGTTGTCCGTCCGTACGTCCGTACGTCCGTCCCGTTTGACCGTTATCACAATATCTCAAGAACCATTTAAGATTTAAACTTAAGACTCGGGAATAGTATTTATCACCATAAGAAGACGATCTGATTAGATTTTGGAGTACGTAGGTCAAAGGTCACAGGTCACAGAGGTCAACTTATGAAATTCCTTGTATTGAGTTTGTTAGCGCGATATCTCAAGAACCATTTGAGATTTAAACTTCAAACTTAAGGATAGTATGTATCACCATAGGAAGACGATCTGATTAGATTTTGGAGCACGTATGTCAAAGGTCAAGGGTCACAGAGGTCAACTTATGAAGTTCCATACATTGAGATTGTTATCATGATATCTCAAGAACCACTGGAGATGTAAAAACTTCAAACTTAAGGATAGTATGTATCACCATAGGAAGTCGATCTGATTAGATTTTGGAGCACGTAGGTCAAAGGTCAAGGGTCACAGAGGTCAACTTATGAAATTCCATACATTGAGATTGTTATCATAATATCTCAAGAACCACTGGAGATTTAAACTTCAAACTTAATGATAGTGTGTATAACCATAGGAAGACAATCTGATTAGATTTTGGAGCACGTAGGTCAAAGGTCAAGGGTCACAGAGGTCAACTTATGAAATTCCATACATTGAGATCGTTATCGCGATATCTCAAGAACCACTGGAGAATTTTCACTTCAAACTTAATGATAGTATGTATCACCATATCATAATATCTCAAGAACCACTGGAGATTTAAACTTCAAACTTAATGATAGTGTGTATCACCATACGAAGACAATCTGATTAGATTTTGGAGCACGTAGGTCAAAGGTCAAGGGTCACAGAGGTCAACTTATGAAATTCCATACATTGAGATTGTTATCATGATATCTCAAGAACCACTGGAGATTTAAACTCCAAACTTGTTTAAATTGCTCTATGGCGGAGGCATCATTTTCGACTGCACGCAGTCAAAATTCCATCTAGTTTTTAATAGGTTAGTTTCCCCACAATGAATGTCCATACATGCCATTAGATGGATCTTGACCCCCATATCCCTTTGAAAGGGGCGTAGGGGCAAATATTGTGATAATTTGAATAAACACCAATTTCAGGCCGAAATGGTAAGGGCCGGGGTGGTTCAGGATTTTGGAGGAAAATAAATATTTTTTTTAATAGGCTAGTTTCTCCACAATGAATGTACCTACATGCCATTAGATGGATCTTGACCCCCATATCCCTTTGGAAGGGGCGTAGGGGCAAATATTGTAAAAATTTGAATTATCACAACTTTCAGGCCGAAATTAGAAGGTCCGGGGTCGTTCAGCATTTTGGAGAAAAATATATATTTTTTTAATAGGCTAGTTTCCCCACAATGAATGTCCATACATGCCATTAGATGGATCTTGACCCCCATATCCCTTTGAAAGGGGCGTAGGGGCAAATATTGTGATAATTTGAATAAACACCAATTTCAGGCCGAAATGGTAAGGGCCTGGGTGGTTCAGGATTTTGGAGGAAAATATATATTTTTTTTAATAGGCTAGTTTCTCCACAATGAATGTACCTACATGCCATTAGATGGATCTTGACCCCCATATCCCTTTGAAAGGGGCGTAGGGGCAAATATTGTGATAATTTGAATAAACACCAATTTCAGGCCGAAATGGTTAGGGCCGGGGTGGTTCAGGATTTTGGAGGAAAATATATATTTTTTTTAATAGGCTAGTTTCTCCACAATGAATGTACCTACATGCCATTAGATGGATCTTGACCCCCATATCCCTTTGAAAGGGGCGTAGGGGCAAATATTGTAAAAATTTGAATTATCACAACTTTCAGGCCGAAATTAGAAGGTCCGGGGTCGTTCAGCATTTTGGAGGAAAATATTTTTTTTTTTTAATAGGCTAGTTTCCCCACAATGAAAGTCCATACATGCCATTAGATGGATCTTGACCCCCATATCCCTTTGAAAGGGGCGTAGGGGCAAATATTGTGATAATTTGAATAAACACAACTTTCAGGCCGAAATTAGAAGGTCCGGGGTCGTTCAGCATTTTGGAGGAAAATATATATTTTTTTTAATAGGCTAGTTTCCCCACAATGAATGTCCATACATGTCATTAGATGGATCTTGACCCCCATATCCCTTTGAAAGGGGCGTAGGGGCAAATATTGTGATAATTTGAATAAACACCAATTTCAGGCCGAAATGGTAAGGGCCGGGGTGGTTCAGGATTTTGGAGGAAAATATATATTTTTTTTTAATAGCCTAGTTTCTCCACAATGAATGTACCTACATGCCATTAGATGGATCTTGACCCCCATATCCCTTTGAAAGGGGCGTAGGGGCAAATATTGTAAAAATTTGAATTATCACAACTTTCAGGCCGAAATTAGAAGGTCCGGGGTTGTTCAGCATTTTGGAGGAAAATATATTTTTTTTTTAATAGGCTAGTTTCCCCACAATGAAAGTCCATACATGCCATTAGATGGATCTTGACCCCCATATCCCTTTGAAAGGGGCGTAGGGGCAAATATTGTAAAAATTTGAATTATCACAACTTTCGGGCCGAAATTAGAAGGTCCGGGGTGGTTCAGCATTTTGGAGGAAAATATAATATTTTTTAATAGGTTAGTTTCCCCACAATGAATGTCCATACATGCCATCAGATGGATCTTGACCCCCATATCCCTTTGAAAGGGGCGTAGGGGCAAATATTGTGATAATTTGAATTATCACAACTTTCGTGCCGAAATTGTAAGGGCCGGGGTGGTTCACCATTTTGGAGGAAAATATTATTTTTTATGAATAGGTTAGTTTCCCCACAATGAATGTACATACATGCCATTAGATGGATCCTGACCCCTAATCCCTTTGAAAGGAGCGTAGGGGCAAATATTGTGATAATTTGAATAAACACCAATTTCAGGCCGAAATGGTAAGGGCCGGGGTGGTTCAGGATTTTGGAGGAAAATATATATTTTTTTTAATAGGCTAGTTTCCCCACAATGAATGTACATAAATGCCATTAGATGGATCCTGACCCCCATATCCCTTTGAAAGGGGCGTAGGGGCAAATATTGTGATAATTTGAATAAACACCAATTTCAGGCCGAAATGGTAAGGGCCGGGGTGGTTCAGGATTTTGGAGTAAAATATATATTTTTTTTAATAGGCTAGTTTCCCCACAATGAATGTACCTACATGCCATTAGATGGATCTTGACCCCCATATCCCTTTGAAAGGGGCATAGGGGCAAATATTGTGATAATTTGAATAAACACCAATTTCAGGCCAAAATGGTAAGGGCCGGGGTGGTTCAGCATTTTGGAGGAAAATATTTTTTTTTTTAATAGGCTAGTTTCCCCACAATGAATGTACATAAATGCCATTAGATGGATCCTGACCCCCATATCCCTTTGAAAGGGGCGTAGGGGCAAATATTGTAAAAATTTGAATTATCACAACTTTCGGGCCGAAATTAGAAGGTCCGGGGTGGTTCAGCATTTTGGAGGAAAATATAATATTTTTTAATAGGTTAGTTTCCCCATAATGAATGTCCATACATGCCATTAGATGGATCTTGACCCCCATATCCCTTTGAAAGGGGCGTAGGGGCAAATATTGTGATAATTTGAATTATCACAACTTTCGTGCCGAAATTGTAAGGGCCTGGGTGGTTCACCATTTTGGAGGAAAATATTATTTTTTATGAATAGGTTAGTTTCCCCACAATGAATGTACATACATGCCATTAGATGGATCCTGACCCCTAATCCCTTTGAAAGGGGCGTAGGGGCAAATATTGTGATAATTTGAATAAACACCAATTTCAGGCCGAAATGGTAAGGGCCGGGGTGGTTCAGGATTTTGGAGGAAAATATATATTTTTTTTAATAGGCTAGTTTCCCCACAATGAATGTACATAAATGCCATTAGATGGATCCTGACCCCCATATCCCTTTGAAAGGGGCGTAGGGGCAAATATTGTGATAATTTGAATAAACACCAATTTCAGGCCGAAATGGTAAGGGCCGGGGTGGTTCAGGATTTTGGAGTAAAATATATATTTTTTTTAATAGGCTAGTTTCCCCACAATGAATGTACCTACATGCCATTAGATGGATCTTGACCCCCATATCCCTTTGAAAGGGGCATAGGGGCAAATATTGTGATAATTTGAATAAACACCAATTTCAGGCCAAAATGGTAAGGGCCGGGGTGGTTCAGCATTTTGGAGGAAAATATATATTTTTTTTAATAGGCTAGTTTCCCCACAATGAATGTACATAAATGCCATTAGATGGATCCTGACCCCCATATCCCTTTGAAAGAGCGTAGGGGCAAATATTGTGATAATTTGAATAAACACCAATTTCAGGCCGAAATTAGAAGGTCCGGGGTGGTTCAGGATTTTGGAGTAAAATATATATTTTTTTTAATAGGCTAGTTTCCCCACAATGAATGTACCTACATGCCATTAGATGGATCTTGACCCCCATATCCCTTTGAAAGGGGCATAGGGGCAAATATTGTGATAATTTGAATAAAGAACAATTTCAGGTCAAAATGGTAAGGGCCGGGGTGGTTCAGCATTTTCGAGGAAAATATATATTTTTTTTAATAGGCTAGTTTCCCCACAATGAATGTACATAAATGCCATTAGATGGATCCTGACCCCCATATCCCTTTGAAAGAGCGTAGGGGCAAATATTGTGATAATTTGAATAAACACCAATTTCAGGCCGAAATTAGAAGGGCCGGGGTGGTTCAGGATTTTGGAGTAAAATATATATTTTTTTTAATAGGCTAGTTTCCCCACAATGAATGTACCTACATGCCATTAGATGGATCTTGACCCCCATATCCCTTTGAAAGGGGCATAGGGGCAAATATTGTGATAATTTGAATAAAGACCAA